ATGCTCCTACTGGAGCAGTAGCCCCATTTGCTCTACCCACATTTACTCCCAGTGTATGTCGAGGAAGAGGTATGAAATGATTCTGTGTTTCATGCACTTTAGCAACAACAGCCTCTGCCCCCCTTTGGAGCATCCACAGTTTGACAGGCTGTATAAAAACCACCCCCTGATTACCCACTTTGCTGCCAGGTTTGCAGAGGCTTAAACACCTGGAAGGAATATATAGGTGGATGAATCCCTGATAAAGTATAAGGGAAGGCTGGGATTCAAGCAGTATATTCCTTCCAAGCGCTCCAGGTATGGTGTAAAGGTGTATAAGCTCTGTTATAGCGAGACTGGGTAAACTCAGGCCTTGCGGGTGCACGAGGGAAAGGATAGTCACCTTGACCCTCCAGGTTGCCCAGAACATATGGGAAACAGTGGCAATATTGTCTGGGACCTGATATTCCCCCTGATGAACAAAGGATACCACTTGTATACAGACAATTTTTATACAAGTGTTCCTTTGTTCAAGCTACTGTATTGTTTTGATACAGTAGCTTGCGGTACAATCAAAAAGAACCGTGCAGGTTTCCCAGGACAACTTGCATGCACCTGGCTACGAAAAGGGGAGACCTCAGCTCTGCGCCAAGAGGAGCTGTTGGCAGTTAATTACAGAGACAAGAAGGATGTGTATGGTCTCTGTACATGACAGAGCTGCGAGCACAAGGAAGCCAGTGGGCATCAAGGCCTATAAACGGCATATGGGTGGGGTTGTTCTGGCAGATCAGCTGCTGCAGCCCTACCTAATTATACGGAAGACAAGGGCCTGGTACAAAAAGGTTGTAATCTACCTAATGCAGATTGCAACCCACAACGCTTTTTTGTTGTTCAAAAAAAGGAAACCCCAGAATGCAACTGAGTTTTTTTTTACAGTTTCAGCTCCAGATCATTTGGGGGATTTTGTACTGTGATGCACCCTAGCGGTGATGGGAGAGGGTAGAGTTGGTGCTACACATTTTATTTTTAAAATCCCCCCTATGGGGGGCATGGGTGTACTCAGGAGGCCTTGCAGAAAACAGCCTGAAGTGTTTTCTTGCAATAACCAACAACAGGTTCTCTCCTAAATCACAGTCAAAATGCAATGTGTGTGTAAAACTGAAAATTGAACAATTACCACCACACACTTTCTCCAATTTTTGGGGCTAAAATAAAGCACTCCATATACAATACCTTGGGGTGTCTTTAGTGTCTAAACTAAACTAAAGATAGGCCTATCAGAAGAAATACTCTAAATTTCTACTAAAATTACAAGTCATACAATTGTAACTGAACCTTCCCAAACTCCTGGCAAACCTATGCATGGGTGTACTTAGGAGGCCTTGCAGAAAACAACCTGGAGTGTTTTCTTGCAATAACCAAAAACAGGCTCCCTTAAACAACACACACAAATGAAAATTACCAACACATATTTTCTCAAATTTGTTAACTAAAACAATTGCATCAAAGGCATAAAAAAAAAAAAAAAAACACTCCATATACAATACCGTGGGGTGTCAACTTTTCAAATACATGCACACCCATGGCAAGAAAATAAATTGGGATATCTAAAAAGGCCCCCAAAAAGAAGATAGGCAAAGAATATATGTCAAATGTTTGGCATTGCACCCCCCATTTCTAAACTCAGTACAAAATTTAGAAACTATGTAGCACGGGTGTTTTTTAGCGGTTGTAGATGCGCAACAGATTTTGGGGGTCAAAGTTCAAAAAAAATGTTTGTTTACATTTTTTCATCATATTTTATAATTTTTTAATAGCAAATGATATATGATATGATAAAAATAATGGTATCTTTAGAAAGACCATTTAATGGCGAGAAAAACAGTATATAACGAGAGTCAGCTCTAGATAAACTGAAGGGCAACAACCCAAAAAAGGGAATTCCTCAAGACCCTTTAGGAACAAGATAAAAAGATGCGCCTAGGGCTAATAACAATAGTCTATAAAATTAAGAACCAGACCAAATGGTCTAAATGGAGATACAAAAAACAAATAAACCTATGTTGATAATAAAAGAACAAATGGAGAATAAAAAAATCCCAATAAAACAGAATAAAATAAATAAAAATAAAAGGGGGTAAGAGTTGTAATATGTGTGGGTACAGTCCACAAACACCGCAGAAATGTAAAAAGAGCCCTGGTTCTTAATGGTAAGAAAATTGAAAAACAGTCTGGTCACTAAGGGGTTAAACAAGCTTACAATCTAGAAGCTCATGGTAGCGGTCTAATGTAGGAGAATTAATTAAAAAACAGGAAATCTTGAATGCTGAAAGGATATAAAAGCAAGCACAGCTGGAAATAGTTGGACAGTGTTTTGTTTAGTTTCGCTGGCAATAGTTCCTGACAATATAGGGTCAGGAACACAAACATGTATTATTTATTTATAAAATATTTTATAAATATTTTACCAGGAAACATACATTGAGATTTCTCTCGTTTTCAAGTATGTCCTGGGTCCACAAAACAATGCATTGTTACATTAGGGTACAATAAAATACAAATACAATACAAAAATAATATTAATACACAATATATACACAAAATGTACCATAGAACAGGTAGGAAATATATAATCACCCATGACATGTGCATTCTGTTTTGAGGTATGTAGAGAGGGATCTCTTAAAGGACTCTAGGCTTGGGGAAGATTTTAAAGTGTGTGGGAGCTCTGTAGGAGGAGGATTGGGCCGCTTTCTTTTTGTATTGAGGAGAGCATTTTGCTCAGGTAGGGTGTGAGTTTCCCAGAAAAGCTCTTAAACACAAGGCTGGAAAGATGAAGGGTGCGTCTGGATTCCAGCGACAGCCAGTTTAGTTATTTTAGCATGTCACAATGGTGGGTCCTGTATTGTAGCACAAATTGGCAGAACGAGTTATGCAATGTATTGAGTTTATTAATGTGGGATTAAGGTGCAGATGCATATACTACATCCCCATAATCAATGATTGGCATCAGCATTTGCTATACAAGCTTTTCCTTTACTGTAGGGCTTAGGCAGGATTTGTTTCTGTACAGGGCACCTAGTTTTGGATAAAGTTTAGATGCAAGTTTTTCTATGTGGAGGCCAAAAGATAGATTGGGGTCTAACATCATACCCAAGTATTTGAAAGAGTGGACTGCGGTCAATGTGCCATTTGAATTTGTTTTGATGAGGGAGTGTGACCGGTTGTGTGTGGCGTAGGAGGGTGTATCACAGAGTTAGGGTGAATGTGCCATGTTTGGAGGAGGCAGTGTAACAGAATTAGGGTAGGTGACTGTGACAATATTAAGGAGATTAATGTGGTAGGATTAGATTAATGTAAAAGGGTGAATGTGGCAGGGTTTGGGGGGAGAGTATGACCAGCTTTAGGGTGAGTGTGACACAGTGGAGGGGTTTATGTTGTAGGGTGAGTGTCGCAGGGTGAAGGGTGAGTGTGACAGGGTTGGGGACGGAGTGTGACAGTGCAAGAGAAGGTTGAGTCAGTCCCTAATGTGATAGGGTAAGTGTGGTAAAGCAAGGGCAGGTGAGTTTGGTATGGTTGGAGGGGGTGAGAGTGACAGGATTAAAAGGGTTTAATGTGAGTCTGGCTGGGTGAAGGGGGTGACAGTGTGTGGGGGCTGTTTGGGAATGGTGATAGTGTGTGTGTATGGCTGTTGATAAGTCGGCAGGGCTGTGACAGGTTGGGAGGAGATAGGGTGGAGGGGGGCTGTGACATTGTCAGGGGTGGAGTGGTCGTGACAAGGTGGGGGTAAAGTGGCTGTGACAGGGTAGGGGGGGTGGAGGAAAATTCTGCGTTTCCATGAAGAGCGTGGAGACGCTGAGCGGCAGTGCTGCACTGAGCCAGGAACCACCTCCAGTGGCCATCTGAGGAGTGGCCACTTGGAGGTGTCCCTAGGAGCAATGTAAACACTGCCTTTTCTCTTAAAAGGCAGTGTTTGCATGAAAATGCTTGCAAGGAATGAGTATACTCACCAAAACAACTACATTAAGCTGTAATTGTTCTGATGACTAGTGTCCCTTTAAAGCGGCACTGTCATGCCAAACTCATTTTTCCCCAATCGCTTTCTCTTCTCTCTTCCTCAGGATCTGTTCTTCATTTCTTTCTAACTGATCTAGTTTTCTTTAAAAACATAAGACAAAGTATGGACTTAACCCCTTAAGGACACATGACATGTGACAGGTCATGATTCCCTTTTATTTCAGAAGTTGTGTCCTTAAGGGGTTAAGGACCAAACTTCTGGAATAAAAGGGAATCATGACATGTCACATGTCATGTGTCCTTAAGGGATTAAACCAACCACTCAGAGTGCCTTCAGGCAGGCTTCTGATGCTCTGCCTGTACTGAGCAACTCGAGGGGTCAAGGCACTCAGTAAATAGTAATAGCCCGACTCTCTGGGATGAGCAATATGATGTCTAGGAGCTGCCAGCAGAGGGACTGTCTGAGCTGTCAGACAGCCCCGGAGGCTGCTAAAAAAAAAAAAGTTTACAAAAATAAAATGTATATATTATAAAATAATTTTAAAACATTTTAAAATATTTTATACATATATGATGATTTCTATACAAGTGTACTTTGAGATATATACACATATATCAAAATACACTTATGATGAAATCATATATACATAATATAGTTTAAAATATTTTAAATATATTCTACCTATATAGGAAATAAAATTATATATATATATATATATATACACACACACACACATATATACATACATACATACATACACACACACACACACACACACACACACACATTAATAATTATTAAAAAAAAACAACAACAAAAAAACACTAACTCGGGGGGCGTGGCCGAGCTGTACATGGAGTAGGACGCAGTTGACAAGTGCTCCTAGGCCCCAACCCACCAAACGCCCGGTTAACGAAGCGAAATCACCGCAATCATGGGGAAAACTAAGCGAGGGGTTAACCCAAGGCCATCCCATGCCCCGACGCATTATACCCCAGGCCCCATGGACGACTATCTCGCCACCCCGCAGATTCATGGTGGAGCGCGGGAACCAGACAAGATGGCGCCCGGGTCCCCGGGCTCGAGTGGCGGAAATGGCTCCTCCAGAGGTTCCCCGGGTGGGGATACATTGAGCCAAATGTCGGCTGACTTGACAGCGATCTCTGCGAATATGCTGACTCGCAGTGATAAAGCAGCGATGGTGGCGGAACTCCGGGCGGCAATACGAGAGGAGGTCATGGCAGTCAGGAGGGACCTAGCAGTGCTGGAGCAGAGGGTGGACAGCCTGGAGGAAGATCGCCTACAAACCTCTCACCGCCTACAATCAGCAGATCTGGCGGCTTCTCGACAGGGGATCATCATCCTGGACCTCCGACGCCAGGTGGAAGACCTCGATAACAGGGGTCGCCGCAACAACATCCGCGTGGGAGGTATGCCGGAGTCGGAAGGGGAATCACCCAGGGAGCTCCTCACGGGGCTCTTCCACCACATTCTAGGCGACGAGGCACCGATGGAGTTTGGCTTCGAGAGAGCGCACAGGGCACTCCGAGCCCCGCGGAGAGATGGTCTCCCTAGGGACCTCATCTGCTGCTTACAGTCTTTCCCACTAAAGGAGGCCATTATGCGGGCTGCCAGATCTCAGCGGGTCATTCAATATGGCGACGCACAAATCTCCCTCTATCACGACCTTTCCTCGCTGACCCTGGATGCCCGCAGAGCTTTAAAACCCATCACAAGCTTGTTGCAGGAGAAGCGCATACCGTATAAATGGGGGTTCCCATTCAGCCTCCAGGCCAAAGTGGATAATCAGTGGCACATCCTACGCTGGCCCAATGAAGTTCCGAGATTTCTACAGGCAGCGGGCCTCCCGCATGTAGTGGTGCCGAATTGGATTCTGGAGTGCCCCCCGGCCCCTGATGTCCCGGCAGAGACTCTCTCAGCGGCAACATCATTGGGACCTCGCCGGCGCGGCCCGGGAGGTCCAGAAGAGTGAACAGACACCTGGACTCCCCCGGCACCTGATAGGGGGGTATGGGACGAGCTGACCTATGCGGCCGTACACGGCACCCAGGTGGACCTGCGGAGACTGAGACCCCGGTGAGGGGGACACTGACTTACAGCTGAACGCCCACCTTGGAGCCTGGTGACAGAGCCGCATGCGGCCCCCCGATTTGGTAAGGTCGGGGCTGGGGGGGGGGGGTTGCCCCCGGACCCAGTTCTGTGGGGTCCCCCCCCCGCCCCGGTAGCAGGTGGGCTCCGGTAAAGTTTGGGAGGGGGGTAAGCTTAAGCGTTGGAAAACCTAGTCCAGCAAAATAAGCTTAAAACTGGAAAAATAATATAAATAAAAGGTAATTGTTACAATCATTCAAATACCTCTTCAAAATATTAACCTAAGTTATAATAAACCAAAAACCTCTAAATCGTGTTGTCAACCAAAAAAGGTTATACCTCCCACATCATCTACTATAATAGAAAAATATCCACGACTATTTGACTTTAATATAACTGAATAGGTCACAGTCTATATTGTATGGTCCTGATATTATAGAAATAGTAGTAGAAAAAAAAAACCTTGCATTCAGCTTTTCACTCCGCAGGGGGGAATGCTCCATAGCGGGGATGAGGGGGGGGGTCTGCTGAACCTCGGGGGGTTCACCTGGGTGCCCGGCTGGACAGTTGGAGACTTTGCGGGGGATAGGTTTAGATGGGGAGGGGCGGGCCTGGGGGGGCCTTTGGCTATTTGTGGCAGGGGTTCCCAGCTACACGAGGCCAGGAAGAGGCGAGAGTGAGAGAGGAGGGCATACAAGAAGTTAAGGGGGGGGGGAGAAAAAAAAAACAAAAAACAAAACCTACTACACCACAATTTACAATTCTCCACGGGGCAGGGACATGGGAGCTCATAAAGGGGGTCCAGAGACAAGATGCCGGGGCAGACCAAAGAAGGTGTCTTAGAGCAGCGCTCGCAGTACAGGTTAGGCCCAGTTGTTAAGTGTTAATGTTTTGGTTCGATAATACACGTGGAGGACAGATGTTGGGGTACCAGATTGAAGATCAGCGGGGGGCCCATTTAGGGTCATAGGGCGGCGAAGAAGCCTAGCCATTCAAGAGGAAATTTAAGTAACCAATAGGTCACAAGCGGTACCAGAGCCCGGGGGACCTCTGGGGGGAAAGGGGGGAGGAGGCCCGTCATGTAGAGTCCGAGGGCAGCAAGGCAAACGGAGGGGGAGGTTCCCTAGTGGGGGACGGCGGGGACCCCGGGGCAGGGACCCCCTTTACTCCCAGGGATTACAGGCGACGGACACTCCCACCAGCGGGTTGGGGGAGACTGAGGGGCCGGTCACAGACGGACACTACATATACGAGCGACAGGCGACACAAGTGGTTTATACCACACCCCACGCAACAGACCTTAGTTGTATATAAGGGCCGGAGTCTAGACGGTCAGTAGGTAAGGGACTACTAGACGTTACCCCGGACCAAGGTCGGACGTTGCATTTCCTAACTGCACTTGCGGGTGGAGCTCGGCTCTGACTCCCGCGCCCCCTCCCCCGCCTCGCTCCCGGGTCGCGGGTGGACACTGGTGCCTATGGCGGCCCCGGTGGTGGGTCGGGCTGGGGGACGTGAGGGGGCGGAGACCGGGTCTCGGGTGCGCCCGGCGCAGCTAAAGCTGTGGTCGCACAATGCCAGGGGCCTTAATATCCCGGAGAAACGCTCCCAGTTGCTGCGTCAGCTCTGGGCGGAGAGGGTGTCCGTGGCGTTCCTGCAGGAGACGCACTTCGTGAGTGGGGCCCACCCCAAGCTCGGAAACAACCGATTTCCACAAGGATACTATGCATGTCACCCAGACGCCAAGAAGACGGGCGTCGCAATCCTTTTCTCACATTTGATCCCGTACCAACACAAAGAATTACTCACAGACCCAGGCGGGAGATACCTATTCCTCAAGGGTACCATAGCGGACCACGCCTACACGTTCGCCTGTGTCTATAGCCCGAACCGAGCACAACACACCTTCCTAGCCAAAACGTTAGCGAAACTAGAACGATTTAGGGAGGGATTTGTGGTTCTGGCGGGTGACCTGAATCTGCTGTTGGACCCGCGGGTGGATTCCTCGAAGGGCTCTAGCGCCATACCCACACACTGTCTTCACAAGGCCAGACGGGCCCTTAACTCGGTAGGGTTGGTCGACAGCTGGAGGGTTACCCACCCTGAAGAGAGGGATTATACCTATTATTCCCCTACACATAAGCAGTATAGCCGTATTGACTACATCTTTCTGCCCCAGGAATTCCTGACACAACTCCAGGGCGCCGCAATAGGGACCACGTGCCACCTGGACCATGCCCCGGTCACGGTGCAGATGCGCTCGCCTCTATTCAAACCAGCAGACCGTCAATGGAGGCTCAATGAGACGTTACTGTCGGACCTCGAGGCGCGCTCCACAGCCCAACAACTCCTTACCCAATATTTTGCAGACAATGATTCCCCGGATGTGGCACCACTAATGGTATGGGAGGCGCACAAATGTGTTTTGAGGGGACACTTTATCTCCATAGGTACCAAGCGTAAGAAGGAGAAAGCGCACCGTATAGCAGAACTCCTGAAGACGGTAGCAACGCTGGAGAACACGCACAAACAGACTGTAGACGATGACACATACCTCCAATTGACGAATGCACGGAAGGCACTCCGGGACCACCTCTCCCAGGGACACTTACTCACCCTAAGGAAGTCGGCCCGGTTTTTTTACGAGTACTCTAATAAGTGCGGCAAACTCTTGGCCAGAATGATCCGGAAACAGAGGAGATCATCTCACATTCATAAGATATGTACCCGAGAGGGTAGGATCCACAGCATGCCTACTGGAATCATGGGAGCCTTTCGGGCCTACTAGACGGACCTCTACAACTCACGGACAGGTACCCGAGAAGCCTCAGAACAGCACAGGCGGAGGGGAATCGCCGAATATCTAGATACCAACGTAACCCGCAGACTGTCACCGGAGCTTGCCGAAGAAATGGAGTGCCCCCTGACGCTGGAGGAGCTCAACGCAGCCTTGAAACGGTCCAAACCACATAGGGCCCCAGGACCAGATGGCTTTCCGCTCGCCTATCTCCGAACGTTCCAGGACACGCTCCTACCGCGCCTTTTGATGGGTCTGAACTCCTTACGGGACACGGGGAGCTTCCCCGCGGACTCCCTAGCGGCTACAATCACGGTCATCCCCAAAGAAGGCAAGGACCCCGCTAATTGTGCGAGTTATCGGCCTATCTCGCTATTAAACGCGGACTTGAAGCTTTTCACTAAGGCCCTATCCATGAGGCTAATGAGAATCATGCCGGATCTTATCCACCCGGACCAGGTGGGCTTCATTCCGGGCAGGGAGGCGAGGGACGACACCATAAGAGCGCTTAACATTATACACGTGGCTGGTAAGACCCAGAAAACTACGGTCCTCCTATCAACTGACGCCGAAAAGGCGTTTGACCGGGTCGACTGGGTCTTTTTGGCTGAGACGCTGCGACACATGGGCTTCGGGCCCTACATGCGCGGTTGGGTTTCAGCCCTATACACCACACCAACAGCAAGGATACGCGTCAACGGGGCCCTGACAGAAGCCTTTTCCATCGGCAATGGGACCCGGCAGGGCTGCCCCCTGTCCCCCCCCCCTGTTTGCCCTCACCCTGGAACCGTTCCTGGAGGCGGTCAGACGGGATGGGGGAATAACGGGGGTTAGGATAGGGAGCGAAGAACACAGGGTGGCAGCCTACGCGGACGACATGCTCTTCTTCCTGGAGCAGCCCGTGGTCTCCATACCAAACTTATTACAAGCGTTTGCCGCGTATGGTAAAGTGTCCAACCTAAAACTGAATCTTGATAAGTCGGAAGCCATGCTGATAACACGCGAGAGGGACCTTGCCGACCACCTCCGCTCCCAATTTCCCTTTGCCTGGCGGGAAACAAAAGTCCGCTACCTGGGCACCTGGCTGCCGAAGGACCTCTCACTCCTGTACCAACTCAACTTCCTTCCTATGCTCACAACTATACAACAGGACCTGGCACGATGGTCAGGACTGTATCTCACATGGTTCGGTCGCATTAGCGCAATCAAGATGAATATACTTCCGAGACTGCTTTATCTGTTTGCAACCCTGCCCACGCAGATCCCACAGGAATTCTTTCGGTTGGCAACCACGGTCATACGCAAGTTTGTATGGAACCAGAGACAGACGCGTATCCGCCGGGCGACCCTAGAGCGCCCCAAGATGGAAGGAGGAGTGGGGTTGCCATCTTTACTCATGTATTATCAAGCCGCGCACCTGCACAGGATAATCGATTGTCACGCCCTCCCGGGACCAAAACGATGGGTGACCCTGGAGAAGGAACAAACGCGAGGAGGCATCCCATCCAGACTCTGGCTGGGGAGTGCCACCTATAGGGACCTTCAGACTACTAATCCTATCATAGACGCCACACTGAGAGTCTGGTGTAAGCTGCGCTACGCCCGGCAGCTGACGACTTCCCCGAACCCCTTGACTCCCATCACGTTTAATCCAGACCTGGCAGGAGGATTATATCCGGCGGCTCTTACACGCTTCCAAGCCTCGGACTGGAACTATCTACATCAATGGAGCGAGGGTGGCAAGATCAGAAGCTTACGGGACCTAATGGGAGATCGACTCCCCACGCCGTTGGACTCTTTCCATTATCACCAGATAAAGGCATATCACGCCCACCTACCGGGGAAGGCCCATATACATAGGCAGCTTACAGAGTTTGAACAACTATGCACCGATAGGAAACATATCGAACACGGTGTTTCCCGTATGTATAGGTCCCTCATGCGGACGGCAGATTCGGGTCCCTTGGGCTTCACCGGTAGATGGGAACAAGAGACTGGAACCCAGTTGACGGATCTAAAATGGGAAAAAAAAAAATCTTTCTGCTGACCCATAAGTGCTCGATTAGTTCCAAATTTCAAGAAACTAGTTACAAACTTTTGACACGGTGGTACCGCACGCCTGATACTCTTAGACACCTGACACAGGCGGACGTGGGGGAGTGTTGGCGATGTGGGGTGGAACTAGGCTCATACCTGCACATTTGGTGGTCTTGCCCACACATAGCTCCATTTTGGCAGATGATTAATAGTAAGATCAGGGAGATTACAGACACAGACCTCCCCTTCCAACCCTTGCAGATGCTCCTGAACCATACACCCACACCCCTGAGCAAATACAAAAACTCGCTCACCATACAATTGCTCACCGCAGCCAAAACACTCATACCCCTACACTGGAAGGCCCAGACAATCCCCACATATAGACAGTGGGTGGATAGAGTGGAAGCCATCCACGAAATGGAACTCATGACGGCCTCCCTGCAGGAGCGCTCGGACAAGTGCGCCCTCAAATGGTATCCCTGGAGCTCCTACTTTGAGAAGGGTGCAGCATGAGTAGCAGTAAGACCGAGGTCACACCGACTCAGGACGTATTACACAGTAAGCCTAGTAGGACACCCATAACCCTCGTCGGTCGCCAACACAACATCTGACTCTTCCCGACAGAGAGAACTTGAGACCGCTCCAGACCAATAGATACAAATAGGGTAATAGGGTGACAAGACTATAAGGTCGACAGCCCCTTACATGATACGGGAAGAACAGGATAGGCACTTGTCGACACAGGCGGACATCCGCCGGGAACACAGACGGGAGCCCTCCACCCCGAGGGTCCCACCATTGGAGGTGGAGATGCGGGTAACTAAACCAACACCATCCTCCTGGACGAGACCCATACCGAGTGAGGGGTCCCACAGAGTTATACCCGTTTCCGATAGGGTGTAGAGTGAGCCCCATAGTCTTCACAGTGAGGTGAACTAAACCCCAGGATGTAAGGCGAGAGGAAAGTTTGTAGCCCTAGAATGGGTCCATATAACATGGGCGAGTGGCCGGGTACAGGCCTCTATACAATGAACAACGCTACTCGATGGGCGGAAATTGTAGGTACGGTGTCTGCAAGCAATGATAGCATAGAGCATGTAAGCGTAGGACGGATAGGGGAGGGGGTGGGAGGGCGGGGATCAGACGGGAAGACCGCTGCAAGGGAAGGGAGGAAAAGGGACAAATTGCCACACAACCGCTGTAAAGGGAATGTTGACTTTTTTTTCATATTTCTCTGTTTCCTCACTGTATAATGCATTTGATTGGTATCCTGTACATGATATGTGAAACAATAATAAAAAGAGAATGACAAAAAAAAACAAAAAAAAACCACTAACTCTGGCCAGCGTTTGTGACTAAGTGGCTACTACAAAAGGCTGGAAATACCCCATTTGGAATACCTTGAGTTGTCTACATTTGAAAATGGTATGCCATGATGGAGTTATTTCACATTCCTGGGCTACCATATGGCCTCAAAAGGTAACAAAGACCCAGCAAACCAATCTGGCAAACTGAATTGGGCAAGTCATATATTAGGCATAGGCAACCTTCGGCACTCCAGATGTTTTGGACTACTCCTCCCATGATGCTTTGCCAGCATTATGGGTGTAAGAGCATTATGGAGGATGTAGTCCACAACATCTGGAGTGCCGAAGGTTGCCTATGTCTGCCCTATATGGACCCTGTAACTTTCCAAATCACCATAAAACTTGTACATGGTTGCTATTGTTATACTCAGCAGACTTCGCTGAACACAAATATGAGTTGTAACGGATCACCTTCCGTTAATGGATGCTCCTAGTGCTTCCTGAGGACTCCAAACACTGCAGACACCACAACCACCGCAGACTCCACAACCGCCGTAGCTTAACTGGAGTCTCGCCTTCTTCCTTCCACCCTGTATGAACCTCCAGCCTCCAGGACCGTGTGGGGAAGACCTCTCCTCCAAGGAGAACGTAACAGGAACAAGCTCTTAAAAGAGCTAAGTGATTAAAGCTCAAGGGAGTATGAAGAGCATAGCAATCCCTGTAGTGATTATAGCTGTCCCCTACAAACATGAGTCAAGGCTACAAGTTAGAGGGTCAAGTCATTCTGTTTATTGACACCAAAAAAAGAACCTTATTTTATGCAAGTTTCCCTTAGATAGGACCACCCACAGGGTTTTACAAAACAACCAATCATACACGTAGATTACAGAAACACTCCCAGCAATTACATACAAAAATCCTCCCCTTTGCCTGTGATCTAATTATGGTACACAATGGTTTAACATAATTAACACAGGCAGTAAAAATACAGTTTTTATACATATCCTGTAACTTTAAAACTACACATCCAATCTCCATAAAAATGACATATTTAGAATCAGCACCCTTCAAATATATACATAACCAATCAGCCAAATCCATCCAGGGGTTAAAAAGTTAGCTGGAGATCCCTTTATGACCAACCGCAAGCACATTTTTGAGCTGATAAAAAAACGACTAAGCCCCATCACCGAATGGGACTTAGTCTCTGCGGCTGAAAGTTCAGTATGGGAGAAGGTAGGGCTCAGCGGTGTTCGCGGAAATGTGTAGCCGATTTTAGGTCCATGAATTTGGCTACACATACCGCTGACCTCATGCGAATGAACAAAGATGGCTGCCACCACGTGTTCGGCAGACGAACAAAGGCCACCCAGCATTGTCAATTAAGCTGCGGTTAACCGCAGCTTCTGGGAGGTAAATTGCCGACACACTCCCAATATAGGTGGTCCGCCTGTGTGGTACTTGGTTCAGTAAGCCCCATTTACTGAACCAAGTGGGAAATAGCCAGGAACAAAGGGTTTTAACCAGGTCTGGGGACACTGGGGACACCGTCTTAAAGGGGCAGTGTCCCAAACAAGTCTGGGGGCAGTGTCCCAATTTTCCCTATGCCCCAAAAGGGTGCTTTAAAGGGCCAGCATCAGTCCCATAAAGAGTCCATACGCCCCAATATGCCCACCGACTGTCTTAAAGGACCAGACACACCCAATAAAAGTCCATAAGTTTTCACAATCTCCCAGGGGCCATAGTCATGCGGAAGGAGGCTGGCAAATAGGCTTCTCCACAACCCAGGGAAGCAGGGCAATTTGCCATTTAAATGGCCAGTTACTAATAGCAGTTTGTAACATGAGTGTTTACAACAGAAAAACTTATCACGGCGATGAAATCACCAGCAAAAATTCAGTTTTTGGAGGGTGGGGCCTGAGCTTCATGGCGGCTGGACGCGTTTCATGAGAGCTCCACAGTTAAATGGAGAAATAAGCGACAATTATAGCGTTCCAGCCAGCAAAAAGACAAACAATGCAGCATTCCTCGACCAGGAACTTACCAGGGTATCCCGATTCATCCGCCTGTCTTCCAAGCTACACTCGCGTCAAGGGTACTGCCCGGGCCTGGAACATGCGGCCTAGCATGGAAGGCGGCCCCGTGATCGGGAGAGGAGGCCGACCTCCCGATACAGGAACCGCTCTAAGCATTGAATTTCCCGCCGCCCCGCACCCCCCAAACGTTTTATTTACATCGCTTCATATACTTAACGAGCCTGAAAATACTCATCTATATGTCATACAGGATAGATAGGCCTAACACTATTTCCTGCGTTTTAATGCATGTGCACAACTCTCGCACACTTGTTATAACTCAATGGCAAGCTAATACCATACTACTAGAAAACAGCTCTTACACGCTATGTACCTGTTTTACTTAAAAATACTAGCTTAACTCCACATTTATGACATATAGACCTAGCATAAAGTATATGACAAGTACGCAATTGCATTCTCATTATCATTTATATTGTTCCCTCCAACGTGAACTCAGTTATTAATCTTTGAAATACACACTTGCGTCTGTAAACTCATGTACTGAATACTGATAGATAGAGATATATATATATATATATACACACACACACACACACACACACCCCTTGTCACCGCTGTTGTGGCATACCAAGGCTTTTTGTAAACCTTTGTGCACAACTGGAAAACTGGAATGCACACCCTCCAAATAAAGTATTTTTTTAGCCCCCAGAGAACCTGACACCTGTACATGGGTGGTATCACTGTACTCAGGAGATGTTGCTGAACACATATTGGGGTGTTCTTTGGAAGTAGCCCTTAAAGTTCTCAGTACATGTATTCTTAAATTGCTAGGTGTGTCAAAATAAAAATCTTTTTTTTTTTTTTTGTAATTTGGCATAGATTGGTGGTAAAATGGTTGCACGAAAAGAGTCAAAATACCCAAGGTGTAATACCTTAGGTTGCCTGCTTTTAAAAAATATATACATATGAAGGGTTATTCAGGGATTCCTGACATATCAGTGTTACAATGTAACTTGCGTTTTGGTGACTATAAAGCTTAAAGCTTGTGGAGAAGCAACTAACCCGATGATAAATATGCTGAATCAGATGAAATTAAGAAATACATTACACACACCACAATAATCCTGTGTTATATATAAAAGACTTCCAATTCTGCAGGCTTGCTTGAGAGCTATAGGTTAGCTCACATAGGAGGTTGCTAGGACGCTGAAAGCATCTAATATTTTACACTGTCATTAGCTGCTCATGTTTATTAAATTCCTACCACTTAACAATAGGGACATGTATTTCCAGGCGCACAGCAAGCAGGGTTTTTATTCCCACTCAGCCCTGCCACAGGCTAATATAGGGTTGATCAATAGGTGTTTGTCTTTCCCACCAGGATAGGATAGGCAGGTGTTGTAGATTGGTGATGGCCAGAGAAATCTATATGTTGCACAGAGCGCTGGAACTATGCTAGCAGTGAGGAAGTGCAAGAAGCAGTAGTAGCCACCAGCCAGTCCTCACACTCTGCAGAGCTGAAGTTCGCTGGCATACATCATGACCCCATCAGCCAAGACCGAGTGGAAAGGCAATGTATGGGTCAGTGTGTGCGTGTGTATATTATACACACACACACACACACACACACACACACTAACCACATTTAGGATGGTTCTCCTGCTCGGTCACTCAACCAATGCCAAAAAGTGATTGCTAGGTTAGAGTACAGTCTTTATTTTTAAACACTTATTTCTATTGAAAAAAAAAAAAAAATTTAGTCTAACAGCAAATACATATGCTATTTTGTGTGCTTCATTAAAGCATATTTAATTAAACCCATGATAGTCCCACATGCACACATCAAAATACATAAATTTATTGATTTCCAGCAGACAAATTATTTTTGGTAAAAGGGGCCATAAATATATTTAAAAGAATATCTACACAAGAATTACATTCACAACATGCATATCCAAGAATGGGTTCACTAGAATATGAAACCTGCTTAAAAGCCTCAAAAATTCTATAATTTGAGGCTTTTAAGCAGGTTTCATATTCTATAGTTCGACGCAAACACAATATCTAGCAAGGATTATATCATTTTGATTCAATAAAATGACAATGCATAAAGAACGTCCTAATGGGGGTGATGGGAGAAGGTGAGCGAGAGGGGTCAATATATGTCCAACAAAGCAACATATGTAAAAACGTTTTTTTAATTATTATAAAATTGTTTTTCAATGGGATTTTACCACACATACGTATTTCAGTGGTTACAATTCATGCTTTAAAACGCATTAAACACAAGTGATACGCGTATAGACATGTAACAGCAATCTAGTCTACAGACGCCCATTATACAAACGTTCCATGACTTCATCTAACGGTTCTTTACTAAAGCCTGTTCTGCGTTGTCAAGATTAAATTAGCGCTTACCGCTGCAATATGTTTTCAAAAAACACAAATTTACTCGTTGTTGCACTGCAGCCACCACCCTCGTAATGAACACCTTCTGAAAAAGTAAGCAAAGCACAGAGTGCAATGTTACGGCTCGAAGTCCATCCAGTCCTGGGTACTACCAAGGCTGCCAGTTAACATGTAATAGACATATTCTCCAACCAATAGCACGAAGCGTACGCGGACAATAGATTAAACCCACATCCCACTGCAAACCAATCAAACTGGGGGCGGTGTTTCCGAAAACATTTCTCCTTAGCGAAAGTGTCCAATGAAACAACAAGATCACTGTATGTTGTCTATACGTCCTTGTGGTTGGGTGGGCTACAAGCCTCTTGTTACGGAGCGGAAAGAACGGGTTTGAGCCATGGTTTCTTTGTGAAAATCATGGTTATCAAGACATAGCTGCCATTTTTTAGCAGATCAAATATAAACGTGCGCTTGTTAGTATGTCGTTTTGATACACATTAGGAGTCAAAAGGAATGCTCGATACACTTGGGTAATTATAACATCCTGGTGTCATTTAGATTATTTAGACTCCTGTTGAACCTCTCCAAGAACCAAAATCATGACAGTGCCCTGACTCCATCTCCTACCTACATACAAAATGTTCCTTAACAGTTTGACTTAAACGCTTAACCACTTAAGGAAGGAGACAGAATCAATTGTACACTTATGATCAAAACAAACAAAATCTGGAATTTGCGCTATATGTCTGTTGAACTGTAATTCATCTCTTTCATATTAAGTGCACCCACACATATATCATTTTGTTCAGGAGAAACTGGGCTTTCATTTAATTTAAAATATATACATTTGAAACAATTTAATATGAATAAAATGTAACCCCTTAAGGACACATGACGTGTGTGACATGTCACGATTCCCTTTTATTCCAGAAGTTTGGTACTTAAGTGGTTAAAGAACTTTGAGAAATTAAGACATTTTGTTATTTTTTAAGTTCTGCATGGCATTTTAACTGCATGGCATTTTAACTGTGAACTGTGAATAGTACTGTTGGCTTCTGCTGAAATAAAATACACATTTGTGTTCTGCAATGTTTTACACATACAACAGTACCCTCCATGTGCAGGTTTTATGAGGTATTGGAAAGTTACAGGGTCAAATATAGGGCTATCCCTTTTTTTATTTCTACACATTGAAATTTGCCAGATTGGTTTGCTGGGGCTATGCTGCCTTTGAGACCGTATGGCAGCCCAGAAAACAGAAAATTTACACCATACTCACCGATATTTTCTTTTCCCGGATGTAGGCAATGGCAGCACTATGATGGGTATAGCTCCTCCCCTTCTCAATTGGACAGGAACCACCTCCTAATTAAATAATAAAAGAGTCTTCCTGCTGCATGGGAAAAGAAAATATTGGTGAGTATGGTGTAAATTTTCTGTTTTCCCAGGATATATCCATGGCAACACTACGGATGGGTTATACCCAAGCCGAAAGGTACAAGGGATTCGAAAAAAAACAAACCAAAAAACACCAAAGTCAATGCAAACCAAAACCCTCTATTTACAAATTAACTATAAGGCAGCAGAAAGGACACCTACCAAATTCCGTGGTAGAGGACCTGACTATGGCCAGCTGATAGTGATGAATAAATGTGTTAAATGAGGACCATGTTGCTGCTGAATAAATGCAGTCCAGAGAAATGTTGGCTGCAACTGCCCATGAAGAGGCCAATGATCTGGTGGAATATGCTAGAAGACCTGATGGAACTGGAACACCGGAAGCTGTGTAAGCTTGAGTAATGGCTGAGATTATCCATTGGCCAATAGAAGTAGAAGAGGCAGCTTGACCCTTCTTGTATCCTGAAGGAATGATGAAAAAATTAGAGGATTTCCTTAAGTACGGTTCAGGTAAGCAGACAAAACACAAACCAGATCCAGATAATGCCATTTCTCTTCTTCAGATGAGGGATAAGGAAAAGAAGCTGTCAAGATTATGTCCTGATTCATATGGAAAGATACTACTTTAGGACAGAATGCTGGAACCGTACGAAGAATCACACTGTCTTCTTGCAGAATTAGAAAGGGGGATTCGCAAGAAAGTGCTCCAAGCTCTGAAATTCTTCTACCTGAAGTCAGTGCCACCAGAAGAACGTTTTTCATCGTTAAAGGGACACTATAGTCACCAGAACAACTACAGCTTTTTGAATTTGTTCTGGTGAGTAGAATCATTACCTTTAGGCTTTTTGCTGTAAAAACTACTTGTTTCAGAGAAAATGCATTGTTTACATTACAGCCTAGTGATAACTTCAGTGGCCACTCCTCAGATGGTTGTCAGAGATCCTTTCTGGGTCATGGCTGCCTAAAATGCATCAAAACATTCAGTATATCCTCCCTCTGCATGCAGACACTGAACTTTCCTTATAGAGATTCATTGATTTAATTCATCTCTATGAGGAGATGCTGATTGGCCAGGGCCGTGTTTGAATTGTGTTGGCTCTGCTCCATATCTGCCTCCTTGTCAGTATCAGCCAATCCTTTGGAGAAGCACTATGATTGAATCAGGCCACCACTTCTGATGATGTCAGCAGACTGCTTGCTATTCTGAGGCAAACAGCATGCAGACCTACAGCTTCAGGCTTGAATACAAGTAAGATTTTGCTATATTTAGGGAGGCATGAGGGGTCCAGGGGGCTAGATGGTGGTTTTAACACTATAGTACCAGACAAGGCCTGCAAACCCAGAGGTAAGTCCCAAGGAGGGGAGCAAGACCTCACAAGAGGGCGGAGCTTGAGGATGGCTTGAAGAAACCTTCCCGAATCAAGATCAAATGCCAATTTACGACCCAACAGAGCAGAAAAGGCTGAAATCTGTACTTTCAAGGAACTGAGGCTCAAACCTTTATCAAATCCATCTTGCAAGACTTGCAGAACATCACTGATACTGGGTGACAGAGGAGAAATGTCATGGACCATACATCAGCTACAGAAGATGTCCCATATCTGTGTAATGAATTAATCCGCTTATGGGAATGTGTTTTATGGTATTTGCCGTCCTGGCAGGAAAAGTTGTGCCCATCTACAGCCTTGCGCCCGGATACCTGATACACCCAGCATGTCTAGGGACGCCAGCCGCTGCGGATCTATGCCACCTTAGAGCCCCATGACTGCCCACATTGAGGATGACATCGGCGTGTGCGTGACATCACATGCACGCATTTTTGCGGGTCATAGGCCAATTACAGCCAATCGGAATAACAGGAGGATTATTTAAACTTATTTTTACATTCTCTCATTGCCCTTTTGTGGTTTCTGCCTTATGGTAATCCAAGAGTGCGTTCCTGATCTTGATATTTTGGTATTTGACTTTGGCTTCGTTCTGACTTCCCTGATTTCTGGTATCCTTGACTTTTGGCTTTTTCTCATCGCTGTGTATGATTTTCTATCCCTGACCTCGGCAAGTATTATGACTATTCTTGGATAATTTAAGTCTGGCCATTCTAAGGTCCGGTTAGACGTTATCCTTAGTCCTAGGTGTGATACAATTCTGGGTGCGGGATCAATTAGTCATCCTGACAATCCAATAGTAAGCTGAAGAAGTAGATTTCTTTTTTGTGTTAACCTGATTCCGGAGGTAGAGAAACCTTTACCAGAGATGCGTTGCCTTTCAATTTCCATGTCATCAAATTGAAAGACTGAGGTGATGGGTGAGAGATATCGAGGGAGGTCCAGAGAAAGCTTTTGCAGGAGGGGAAACCAAGGGCGTCTGGGCCAACAAGGGATTACTGCCAGAATTGTCACTTGCTCTTGAAGGATCCTCCTCAAGAGGGGGAAAATCAGAGGAGTTGGGGGGAAAAAATACCCCAGTTGGAATTTCCACTTGCAACAAAGAGCATCCTGGAAAGGGTCAAAGTAACGCAAGAAGAACCTTTCCACTTTGCGATTCCTTGCTGTCTACTTGAGGAAGGCCCCACTTCTGGACTATGCGGTCGAACGCCTGAGAAAATAGTGCCTATTCTGTGGGGTCCAGAGTTACTCTGCTTAAGAAATCTGCAACTTGATTGTTCTTGCCCGGGAGGTACACTGCCTTGATTACCTTCAAATTCTTTTCTGCCCAGGACATCAAGGGAGTCAAAACCTTCATTAGAAGTTTGCTCTTTGTACCGGTGGTTGAAGTATACCAAAGCAGATGTATTGTCTATCCTTATTCTTTTTGAAGATTAATGATACCGTTGGCTTTTCCACAGACCTTGGACATGATGAAGATTCAGATGTGCTCCGCAACCTGATTGCCAAGCATCCATGGTTAAGGTGACCCAATGAATATTGTTCAGTAGGCATGTGCATGGGAAAATGGTTCGGTTCGGTTCGGCATTCCAAAATTCGGGACTTCGGCAATTCGGCACTTTGGAATTTCGGAACTTGTCTTGCAGCCACTTGGTAGATAACTCCCTAATTCCCACGGTATTAGGGAGTTATCTACCAAAAGGCTGAAAGACCTAAATTGGTCTTTTCAGCCACATTTACTAATACTAAGTAAAAATTACTTAGTATTAGTAAATTTTGCCCCTATTCATTATACCAGGAGTAGGGGCATGTCTGTTAAAAAAAAAAAAAAAAAAAATTAAAAAAAATGGGCCCTAAATTAGAATAAGGGGGACCTAATGTCCTCCCCCCTGGCACCCATCCCTGAGCGGTGGGTGGGGGCCCTAAATACTAATTAGTAGGGAGACCTAATGACCTCCCCCTGGCCCCCACCCCTGAGCGGTGGGTGGGGGCCCTAATGTCCTTCCCCCCCACCCCTGAGCGGTGGGTAGGGGCCCTGAATAGTAATTGGGGGGACCTAATGTCCTCCCCCTGGCCCCACCGCAGAGCAGTGGGTGGGGGCACCTAAATACTTATAAAGACTTGCCCCACCCTGCAATTAGGCCCAGAGCACTCTGATTGGTGGGTTTAAGGCATCCAATCAGAGTGCTCTGACAGGTAAGTGAAAAGACTGACAGGTAAGTCTCTACATTTACCTGTCACAGCACTCTGATTGGTCGGTTTGAAATCCACCAATCAGAGTGCTCTGTGTCATTTTACACAGCGTGGGAAAGTTCTTTGGAATTTTCCCACGCTGTGTAATTTGACTCATAACTCTCTGATTGGTGGATTAAGTAACCAATCAGAGAGTTATGAGTCAAATTACACAGCGTGGGAAAATTCCAAAGAACTTTCCCACGCTGTGTAAAATGACACAGAGCACTTCAAACCAACCGATCAGAGTGCTGTGACAGGTAAATGTAGAGTCTCTTCATTTACCTGTCAGAGCACTCTGATTGGATGGCTTAAACCCACCAATCAGAGTGCTCTGAGCCTAATTGCAGGGCGGGGCAAGGCTTTATAAGCGGTGTCTGCGCGGAGCCCTCGCCGGGTGAAAATGGATTTTTTTTTTTTTTGTGCTCATTTTTGTTTTTTGTTTTTTTGTAATTGCGTCGGTTATTATGGATTTTTATTTGGCCTTTTTTGGGGCTGAAAAAAGATTTTAGAAGAAAGAAAACATCAAATGGTAAGTTTATTTTTTTACAGGTACTTAGTTAAATGTTTAGGGTGAGGGGGGTAGGTAGGGGTTAATTTTTGGGGGGAGAGGGGTAACTAGGGGTTTGGGGACCCCTAGTCACCTGCGGGAGGGGGCGGTTATTTTTTTTATTTAGGGCCCCCACCCACCACTCAGGGATGGGGGCCAGGGGGGAGGACATTAGGTCCCCCCTAATTAGTATTTAGGGCCCCCACCCACCGCTCAGGGGTAAGAGCCAGGGGGGAGGATATTAGGTCCCCCCCTAATTAGTATTTAGGGCCCCCACCCACTGCTCAGGGGTGGGGGCCAGGGGCGAGGACATTAGGTCCTCCCCCCACATTCTAATTTAGGGCCCCCACACATCGCTCAGGGGTGGGGGCCAGGGGGGAGGAAATTAGGTCCCCCCAATTAGTATTTAGGGCCCCCATCCACCTCTCAGGGGGGAGGACATTAGGTCCTCCCCCCTCATTCTAATTTAGGGCCCCCACCCACCGCTCAGGGTCACATTAGGTCCTCCCCCCTCATTCTAATTTAGGGCCACCACCCACCAAATCGAGTGTGAGGGATAGTGGAGAATTTCAGGAAGTAGCCGTACTTTAGAATCTTCAGCACCACTTGTCTAGTATCGTTTGAACCCAGACCCCGAAGAAGTTTAGAAGTCTTGCTCTCACTCCCAAGGGCTGGACTGGCAGCCCATCAGAATTGTTTCAATTGTCTGGTACTACCACCTCGTCCCTGGGAGCTTTTGGAGGAGGAAAATCCCCCTTTCCAAGATTGGAATCTGGAGAACTCTCTACCAGGTTTGTATCGTCTAAATTCCTTATCCTGAAAGGAACGTCTGTCCTGTGGAAAAGATCTTTTAGGTCGTCTGTTTTGAGGAAGGAAAGCTTTACGCCCTTCCACTGCCCTTTTAATACATTCGTCCAGATATTTGCCAAAAAGGTATTTTTTCTGCACCACTTTGGGGGCAAGATCCCAAAAAACACTGTCATCTGATTTAACCCCTTAAGGACACATGACACGTGTGACATGTCATGATTCCCTTTTATTCCAGAAGTTTGGTCCTTAAGGGGTTAAAAGGGTAAAGTTTAGAAAAACGACCCTTAATAGAAACTCTTTTCTCTGATTTTTTTTCCATTTTTTTCCATCCCCTTGAAAAGGGAGGGCACATAGACTATTTTTTGAAGATGTATCTGCCACCCAATTACGTAGCCAAAGAGCTTGTCTTGATGCTACTGAAAGGACCATGCTTCTGGAGATGGCTTTTACCAAATCTATAGAAGTTCCTGTTAAAAATTAAATAGCCAATTTCACTTTATTCGAGGATTCCAATAGTCTGGATATACTGACTCCACTTGAAATGTCCTCTTAGAGATCGTCCAGCCATTGTTTTAAAGCTCTGGAAACTTATGTCATGGCCATGGCTGGTCCATAGAATCACGTAATGATCCGGCATTATTCACTGGAAGGGTGGTCTTTTTGGCTAATCATAATTGCTGCACCACTTTGGGGACAAGATCCCAAGAAACACTGTCATATGATTTAAAAGGATGAATGAAAAACGACTCTGAATAGAAACTCTTTTCTCATATTTTTTCCATTCTTGTTTAATAAGGTCCTCAATGGCTTCATGCAACGGAAAAGTAGGATTGCGCTTTCTTAGATCTACGAAGTGCTTACTGGAAGCCGGTTCTACTTTTCTCTTATCACTAAGGTCCAAGGTATCACAAGGTATTAGAGTGCTAATCTTTTGATTGTCTATGAAGACAGGAGAGGCAGCAGACTCTTCATCTTGAGATGAAAATTCGTCTTCTTCAAATACTGGGGGCATATAATCATCTGAATTGAAATCAGGATCTCCATGAGGGCTAAAAGATCTACTTTTTTTTTTCGCCTTCTCGGACTGCCGAAGACCCACCGAAACTGCTTGACGGATGTAAGGGAGCACAACTGGATCCGGCTCTGCAGGACCTGCTGCTGCTTTAAGACAAGCTAAACAAAGTCTTTTCCCAGGCAGCACCTTGTCATCACAAGTTTCACACAAGGGAGTCTTATCCTTCTTTTTCCTATATGAGGTGAGCTGAAATGCACTCTTTATTTTGGATATAAAACTCTGAAAATAAAAGTGACTTACTCCAAACCTCGAGATTGCGACCTATTATTTGAAGAATGACCGGGGGGACTCCATCCTAAGAGGGCAGCTAGAAAATTAAAAACAATGTTTTTAGCAATCAAAGTACTATAGGTACTATAATTAAAGGACTTTATTACTTTAAATTACCCAAAGAAAATTACAAAGAGAATTTAACCCCCCCCCCAAAAAAAAAACAAATTCCACTTACCTGCAGCCAAAAGTTAAAGGATGATCAATGCAGAGCATACTGATAGTGAGATTAATGCAGCAATACAGGTACCAACCAAGGTATTTTAAATGGCAACTTTCCCCTGTAAATATAACTAAAAACAATAAACCCGGAAGGATTAACCTGCCCTTGTTACAGGCCTCGCTTTGGTGTGCGTTCCACGACCAGAGCGAGTACCGCAATAGGCCGAAAAACCGGAAGTGACGTAACTGGACGCGCCGAACACCGGAAGTGACTAAAACGAAACGCATGCGGCCTCTGTGTGCATTCCAATTTGCTTTCCAAATCCGGAACGCGAAGACAGAAGGCCAACCTCATTACAATTCAACCTAAAAAGGAGATAAAACAAGAAAGGAAAACCCCCAGTCAGGCAGACATTTACAAGGAACCGCCACTTACTATTTCACCAGGAGACTGCCCAGGATCCATACTAGTCTCAGCTAACGGGAAAGCCAAGAAACCCCAAAATTATGAGCAGGTAGGTGTACCCTTTTTCGGGAATTATCCCCACAATGGGTCTGGCACATCCAGTTGCTACCTATAGGGTCACTGAGGGGAGTCGCCTTTGGTGAGGAACCATGTCCTGAGAGGCTTCCACGGGGAGAGAGGCTGAACTCACCATGGGCTAGGGGTACAATTTGACACGAGTAAGCCACAAAATAGAAAAAAGAGGAGGTGAAACATCCTATGACCTTGAGTAGTGGACATGAAAAAAAGACTGAAGGTGGTTCCTGTCCAATTGAGGAGCTATACCCATCTGCAGTGGATATATCCAGGGAAATAAAAATTAACCCTATCATGGCATACCATTTGCAAACGTAGTCAACCCAGAGTATTAAAAATGGGGTATGTTTAGTCTTTTGTAGTAGTCACTTAGTCACAAACACTGGCCAAAATTAGCGTTTATATTTGTTTTTCCATTTTTTACAAATTAAAATGCCCTTTCACTGATGATATCAATATCATTATAAGTTTTACTGCTCTAAAACATTCATATTTGTGTTCAGCAATATCTCACGAGTAAAAGAGTACCCTCCTGTGAAGGTTTTTTTGGAGTTTTGGAAAGTTACAGGGTCAAATATAGGGTTTTCCCATTTCTGTTTGCCAGATTGGTTAGGTGGCCTATGCTGCTTTTGAGACTATATGGCAGCCCAGGAATAAGAATTACCTGCATCATGGCATACCATTCATAAAAGTAAACAACCCAGGGTATTAAAAATGGGGTAAATCCAGTCTTTTGTAGTAGCCACTTAGTCACAAACCCTGGCCAAAGTTATTTTTCATTTGGGTTTTTGCGTTTTTCACACAAAAACTGCACTTTTACTGATGAGATCATCATTATTACAAGTTTAGTGTTCTAAAAGACTCATATTTGTGTTTAACGAAGTCTCACGAGTATACCCCATATTGTACAGGTTTTATGGTGTTTTGCAAAGTTACTGGGTCAACTATAGTACGTCACATTTTTCAGTTTATACACATTGAAATTTTCAAAGACTAGTTATTGTAGCAGGCTGGCCTGGTCATGGGTCATAAATAACAGAAACAGTTTTTTCTTCCAAAATGAGGAAAGCTTTATTTAGCAAGCAGGCCCCAATTGAGCCACAGCAAAACACGAAACCAAAATAAACTCCTACTCCACACTGGAGACTAACTAACATAGAGTACCCTTTCTATGCTACTGGGCAGCTAATCTGACCCCAGTAGTTTAACAAATAAAAATAAAGGCAAAATGCCTTTTACTTTCCACACAGATTCAGCAGAGATTCAGCTCTTCACAGGAGAGACTGATTTCCCTTTGCATAGAGTTTTTGTAGCTCCCTAATTGATGTACTAGAGCAGCCTGATTTTTAACCCCTTCTAGTCAGGGAACACTGAAAGTGCCATTCTGAGGCTATATAGAAGTGTTCCCTCACACTGCCACATATCCTTCCCCCCAGCGGAACACAACAGGGTGGAGCGGCCGTGACATAGAGACTATGCACTCTAGACAATGCATCTGCATTAGCATGCATTTCGGCTTCCTGACTCCACTGAACGATTTCCGGTCCTCTTGCTCTTGTCAACTCAGTTAAGGGGGACGCTAGGGTGGCAAAATGGGGTATAAACCTCCTGTAGTATCTGACAATACCATGAAAAGCCCTAACCTGTTTTTTTTCTCAAGGGATGGGGCCATTTTTTCAATGGCATCTATTTTACTGATTTGAGGTTTGATCATGCCTCTGTCACATATTCATCTGAACATAAAAATTTGATTAATAGCATTTACTGTTCTGAAAGGAAAAGTTGTGCCAAGCAGCAATCAATCCACAGGAGGTTTTGTGATGAGCAGCAATCAGTCCACAGGAGGGTTTGTGCTGAGCAGCAACCATGCAAATAGGAACCTGGTAACTGCCTTTGGAGTCAAAGGCCAGTTACAACCAATCAGATCCACGGATATTTAGGCCCAGTTCACCTCTTGCTCTGTGCCCTGTCGTTGTTTCCCTTGTGGTTGTTAGAGAGCGTATTATTGATTCTGGTTATTTGACTTTGGCATTGTCATTGACTTCCCTGTTTTCTGGCATCCCTGACCCCTGGCTTTTCCTTATTGTTGTGTCTCTTTCTGTATCCCTTGACCTTGGCTATTTCTGACTATTCTTTGATATGTTAGTCCGGCCATTTTAAGGTCTGGTATATGTTACCTATCAGCCCTCTGTGTTACACAATTCTATGTGCTGGATCATACTGTAATCCTGACAGCCTCATCCTATAGTATACCCCAATTACTTAACTTCCAGACATACTAGTATACATTTGGCAGGGTTAACAGTGAGACCTGCAACCCTCAATGTATCCAGTACAGCTTCAACTTTGGCTTCAAGTGGGTTTCCCAAGCCTGACTGTAGATGACTAGATCATCTAAATAAGCAGAGGCATAAGCAGAATGGGGTCTCAACAGCTTATTCATCAACCTCTGGAAGGTTGCAGGGGCCCCATGTAAGCCAAATGGCAACACCGTATATTGATAAAGACCCGTATATTGATTCAGACAGGGGAATCTGCCAATAACCTTTTTGTTTTTTAATTCTTTCTTTCTTTTATTTTTGCAGTCAAATAATCACGATTACTCACCAAGGAGCAGCAATCGTTCCAAGAAAATACATGTGTGATGTACAGTAAAGCATTATAAGGCAAGTGTCACATCATGCCTTGTTCTGCGGATCAGTCTGGTGATGCTTCTGGTATCCAGTACTCTTTTTACAATTCTTGTTTAGTTTTTCTTTTTTTTTGGTTTTCTGTTCCATGTCTGGTTTTCCTTATGCTGGGTTTTCTGGGTTCATTCCATTATTCCGTCCCTGGAATTCCCAGTCTCTTGGATTCATTTATATGTTTGTTTTATGTTGCCACACCCGTTTGTTTTCCATTTTCCTTTTGTTTCAGTCTGGACCTGCAGCAGTGTTTCAAGTCTCTGCCCTTTCTTGCAGGTAAGTGCTATTGTGGTTTAGTATGGTTCTTTTAGCAAACATTAGGCAGTGTAGGACCTGCCGAATATGGGGTACATTGGCGTTTTGGCAGGCTTATGCAATGTATGATCATATAATGTAACTAAATCCCCATACTTTTCATATATAGTGCTTAGTTATGTCTCCTCTTGTTTTGCCTATCATATCTTGTTTTGTTTTAGTTTGTATTCCCAGTCCATGTACAGTCCTGTCCTGCCCCTGTTTAGTTAATGTTCCCTTATGTATTGTGTACATGTTCTGGGTTTAGCTTCCTATCCTTCTCTGGTTCTGGGTTCTTCTAGTTCTGTCTTGTTTTCATGTTTGGTGACTATCCTAGCCTCGCCTTGTTTCTAGTACTGGATACAGCTCAGCATATGTCTGCTCTGGCTTCCACTAAGCTGCTACAGGGTCTTGGTTTGAGGCCGCACAAACGCTGGTGCTCAACACCAGAGGGCGTGTGGTTACCCTGCACCAGGCCCTGATATTCCACTTCCACGCTGAAGACTCCTAACTTCTCATCAGCCACTCAGGGGTCCCGGTTTCCATACCGCCACCCGTGACAGCAAGATGACGGACAAGCCCTGTCACTAGCTCATAATTTGTAACAGTACGATAATATTTGAAAAATGTTCTGCTGCTTAATAATTTTCGATTTGAGAGTAAATTTACGGATAGCAACGAAAAGGAAAAGGAAGAAAGTAGGAAAAAGGGAAGTTGGGTTTGCAGAAGGCTGAGAACTAACCCTGCATATTATTCATTAGGGTGGGGGGGCAGTAGGGTGGTAGGGCCAGAGGGCGTCACCCAATGCCCAGGCTACCATCCAGAATCAAGCCTTCTCCAGTGTCCTTGTGTGCGGTTTTAGCCATCTAGTCTTTACAGGGGTATTTACTGTAATACCTGTTACCCAAGTCCAAAACCCTCCATATCCCTCTCCAGCCGCCGTGTTCGCATTGGCTAATGTGTGGGAAATTATCCCATTTCAGTGGGGAGGCAGACTACAGTTGTATAAAGGTAGTGTTGTAACTTTTTTTTTTTTGCCTTAGGCTACTCAGTCCCTCCTCCAACCCCCCTGGCATAAACCTCCCAGGATGTCCAGGCTTCCATAACACCCCTGCCTCTATTGGAACTCTTATAAGCCATTTTCTCGTAGACCCCATTTGTTGTAACCTGTTTAAGCACCTCCTCCCTTTGCGGAGCCGTGGTCGACTTCCACCTGCATGC